CACCCATGTGAATGAGTTGTACATCATTCGATACACCCCATTTTATATCACAAGATAAATTCTAAATTATTTCTGAAATTTACAAAATTGGAGAGTCCCAATGAAACAAAGTTAGGTACGAATTTGATATGATAGGACAGTCAAATCTCTTATATGCATCCCATCCATGATCCAACTCACTACAAAAACGTGAAAAAAAAAATTATTTCCTTGAACAGGGGCATTGACAGTAATGGACTGACATAGTCCTGTGACAGAGAGAGAGAGAGATTGGGTGGTTTTTTATTTTTAAATTGTCCCATTATATGTTGACACGTGTTTCTTCCATCATCGAGTATGTCACTTTAACAAGGTTAATTGCTTTAACCTTATTAATATTAAGAGTTTGTTTAAGTTCCATTCCTTGATGAAAATGTATTTTGATGAAGAATATTTGATTAAAAAATAAGGAAAATTTTTAAATTTATGTGTAATATTAACCAAAAAAATAAATAGAACTATAAAAGTAAGAGAGAGAAAAGGGTAAATTGCTTATGCAGTCCCCAATATGTGTTGAAAGTTACGATCTTTTGAACTTAAGGTCTGGTGGAATAAAACTATCATATATTAAAATTGCAACTAATTTTAATTGAACATGAGAGAAATATTAAGTGTTTTGACATTTTTATCCACTCACGTGAATATTGTGTTCAATGTTATCATTTATACTGATATTTTAGACACATACCCACACTTGAAAAGTCTAATTATAACTTTTGATCAGCTAGCGTTGTCTGGCAAAGCTTACATGCTAGGATGGGGCAATGGGACGAGTTTGGGTTCGGACGGGCCCGTTTACGTAGGGGTACTTTTGAAAATAGCTTGGTCAAACAATCAAATTTTCATTTTGACCATTTTTTTTTTTTGTATTCACCACATTGGCCTATTGTCATTAAAAAGACAATTCTACCCTTATTCATGTTTAATAATTACAAAAAGAATATCAATTGTTTAAAAGACAATAATACCCTTAATAGTTTAAATAAATTCTGTTACTTCCATACGTAAATTTCAAAATCAGTTTTGGTTTATCAGTTTCTCCAATACAGTAAAAAAGATTTTTTTCCTTCCATCTGCTAAAATATTGAAATCTCCCAAAATTATCAAAGGTTCAAGAAAGAAACAATACTCACAGTCGGCACTGGAAATTGGTAAGTGTAAATACGTATTTTGAATTTTGTTTTAGTTAAGTTTACTGTTTGAATCTGTAAATAATTATTTTGAGAAAGGCAGATGAATTTTACAGTATTTAAACACAGATTTATAATTTTTTATAGCAAAAACAACAAAAAAATTCATCTCTGTATGCATATATTTTACAGGAAAAATTTATAGGTGTCTGTAAAATAAATATTTAAACATTATTTCGTGAAAAAGGGAAAAAATAAAAAATTAGAGCGTAAATTTCAGATGAAAAGGACGAAAAAAGCTGGGCCAAATGTTTCCAGCCGGCCCAACCCTTTTTTTTTCCCTTCAAATTTTAGAATTTATTTGTTCATTAATATATGTTTATTGAAATAAATATTAATGAATATTTAAATAGTAATTGAAATAAATATTTTTGAAACAATTAAAATAATCAATGAATTATTTAATACTTAAATTAAATTAAATATGAAATGAACAATTTAAAAAATTATATATTAATTCCTTATTTTTAATTTGTGGCAGATATGACATCAGCATGTGTCCCAATTTGTTACTTTGGTGAATTTCAAAGGAATGAAAATGCTCAGTGGGAATGGAAATGGACGAGTGAAGGAGATGGGGTTAAAGCAATTTTTATAACAAGGAGTACATCGTTCGCAGAAATGTACAGTGATATACAAAACATGCTTAACGTCGATCCCTCTCAGTACGATATGGAATTGAGATTTTTGTTTCATAAGCATTCAACCATTTCAATTCCACCTATGAAAGTTTAGTTGAAGACAACGAGAATGAAAATGCATTTACAAACGAGGATTTGATTGCTTTATCTCGTAGGAGACATGAGTCGGGTGGGAGCTCGCAGGCCGGACCGAGTACACGGTCCTCTAATTGTTCGCGTGTAGTTCTCGATAATGAAGATGTATATGTCGAGCAACTATTCGAATCAAAGAAAGAATTGCAAGAAGCTGTGCACCGGATTGCTTTAAAACATAACTTCGAGTTTAAAGTGAAGAAATCAAACAAGTCGTTATACACAATTATCTGCGTTGACGACAGTTGCCATTGGCGTTTGCGAGCGACTAAGATGGATACGAATGAGTTCTTTGTAGTTCATAAGTATGCACGGGAACATACTTGCGAAGTGGGTATTCGTTGAAATGATCATAGGCAGGCCCGATCATGGTTCATTGGTCGAGAAATAATGCACAAGTTCCAGGATCCACGAATGATCTACAGACCTTCGGATATCATTAATGATGTTCGACGTGAGTACGGGGTGGTCATGAGCTATCAGAAGGCTTGGAAGGCTAAAGAATGTGCATTGGAGGATTTGATGGGTTCAGCTGAGGAGAGTTATGCTAAATTAGCCAGGTATTTCATTGTTTAAGTGTTTATTTCTTTGTTATAGTAAATTTTAATTATTTAATTTCAATTGTTTATTTATATGTAATTAATTATTTAATTGAATTTTTTATTTTTCTGTTCATTTAATATTTAATATATTATCTAAATTATGATTATTTTTATTTACATTGGCCAGGTATTGCTATAACATGGGAAGAATTAATACTGGGTCGGCATTTTTTATTGAGAAGGATGACGAAAATCTCTTCAAATATTTCTTTATGGCCCTTGGACAATGTGTTCGAGGATTTCGAAATGCAATGCGACCCTTAATCTTAGTCGACGGTACAACCCTTAAGGCGAGATACGGGGGCAAGTTGATTATTGCAACATGCCAAGATGCGAACATCCAAATTTACCCTCTTGCGTTCGGCATAGTCGACGGAGAAAATGATGTAGCAATGAGTTGGTTTTTCACGAAGTTGAGGGAAGTAATTGGAGATGTCGAAAATCTTGCATTCGTAACCGATCGAGGGCAGTCAATAATAAATGGTATCGCCGAAGTCTTCCCCGAGGCACATCATGGTTATTGTATGTACCATATACAGGGAAACTTGAAGACCAGGTATCGAGGCAATGGCGTCGTTGCGTTGTTTAGGAGAACTGCAGAGGCTTACAGTTTTGAAGAGTTTGATAAGTTCATGGTCGAAATAGACAGTAAATCGCATGCTGCATGGGAGTATCTAACAGAGATGGGGATTGAACATTGGGCACGATCACATTTTCCAGGACGTCGATACAACATGATGACGTCGAACAATGCGGAGTCGCTTAACGCTTTATTCAAGAAAGATCGAGAGTTACCAATTCTTGCAATGATTGAGAACATTCATGACAAGCTACAACAGTGGTTTCATGATCGACGTGAGGAATCACAGAGTTGTGCAAGTGTGCTAACCCCGGCTCAAGAAGATAAGCTCTTCAAGACTCTAGATGTGGCAAGAAAGGTATATGTAGAACCACTGAATCAATTTCGCTTCTCCGTGAGATGTGCACGTAATTTCGGATTCATTGTGGACTTGAATGATAACACGTGCACGTGTAGACGGTTTCAGTTGGAGAGTTTTCCATGTACACATGCAGTGGCAGTGGCTATGCATAGAGGATTACCACCACACACCTTATGCAGTGTGTATTACATGACTGATTATTGGGGAGCAGCATATACGGAAACAATATTTCCTGTACCAAATGAAGTCGAGTGGGAAGTGCCCGACCACATTCTCCCACTGAATAACTTGTTGCCACCAGCAGTTGGACCACGTACTCCTGGACGTACACGTACGTCTAGAATACCATCTACCGGAGAGTTTCCCCAGCCTCGTAAGTGCGGTAGGTGCGGTGCAACAGGGCATACTAGAAGATATTGTACAAGTCAGATTCCTCTACATGACAATGTAACGGATGTGTAATTTTAATAACTATTGGCAATGTAATTATTTATAACATTGACTTTAATTATTTATGCATATTATTTATGCGAATTATTAGATTTAGTATTTTTTTCAAACATTTCATTCATTACATTCATTTGTTATGCATATTATTTATGTTAATTATTTGAAATCGAAACTTTTTCTAGAAACTGCATTATACGGTAGGCTACATTGTAAAATAAATATTTAAATATTACATATGCAATCAACATTTTACAATTTTTCCTAATTACAAATAAATGAATGAATTGTATAATGTTTAAATAAATGTAAAAATATGTACAATTATTTACGGATCCCCATTAAATTCAAATAAATCACATGCTAGTTTATTTCTCCAATTTTGTATCCATGCCTGGTTGATTGCATCAACCTTATGTGCCACACTCAAAAAATCTATGTACTTGATGACGAATATGCCGCAATCACCCCTACAATTAAACAATGTTGTATTAGCACATCGAAAATTAGTTAGAAACTAAGATATAAATGACAGAAAGAAAATTACAAACACTTACGATATTTGTTGCCTCGTCGTCGTCGTGTTCCGCACGGTGGCCAATCTGTCTTCTACAGTGATGTTCGCTCGTCTAGCCATCATGGGAACGATCACAGACAGCGACTCTAGATTTTGCTCGAGCTAGCCTTGTGTCAGGCATGAATGATCGGAGTCGCACACATACATCGTGGAGTCGGCGAATACGATTTCCACTGCAATGTAGTGATGATTCAGACATACTGGTACGTACATATGCGTATAGCCATCCCATGGCTTCCCACCGACACTCGGCCACATCCCTACGACCCATTCCATCATATATTTCGGCACCGTGTACTCGGTACCCATAGCCTGGAACGACTGGTACTCAATGTCAACGGCACGGATGAACTCGGTGTTCAATGTGAGTCTGCCAGGAATGTTGAACGATTTTGGATGTCTTTCAGCACGATCCCGTAGCAAATCCATGCTCAAGTCGATGTGCTACATCAAGAAACACCAATAAAGAAAGGAGTTAATCTATGAATTTCATTCAAAAAATTGATTTCGAACGTACATAATAAATAACAATATTTTCATTTCACTTACATCGTCGGCGAGCCAAGCCCCCGAAGTGGTGATGTCGTGGAACCACTTGTAAGCATTTGAGATCGTCTTCTCAGCAATCGTGCGGCTGGCCCTGAAAAAATAAGAACATAATTTTTAGTTATATGAAGTATACATGTGTCAGCGTCTGCGTACTATAGTAATTACATAAAATACAAAACTGACCCAGGCTGCAGTGCTCTCCACTCTGTCTCAAAGGCTTTCCACTTGGTGTGGTCCACCTCCCTGAATAAATTCGGGTGCGTCCCGTCGACGAACCTTCTCCTCTTCGCCTCCGCGGTAAAGGGAGAAAGAACGTACTGTGATGGCACCCTTGGCCTCTTGCCGACCACCCGCTCCTCATGTGCCTCGGGAATCTCCATCTCCCCAGCCATCGGGACGACCCCCTCGCCCGCTGTCGGGACCACCTCCTCCGACACAAAGACCAAGACCGGCGAGTCTGGCGTCTTCTCGGGTACCACCTCCACCTCCGATACCCTCTCCTCCTCCGGTGCCCCCTCGACATCCCCGGGTATCCCGTGCACGGGTACCACATCTAGCTCCAGTACCCTATCCTCCTCCGGTACCCCCTCGGCATCCCCGGGTATCCCCTGCACGGGTACCACCTCCGATACCACCTCCACCTCCATCTCCGGTACCCTCTCCTCCTCAGGTACCCCCTCCACGTCCTCAGGTATATCCTGCGCGGGCATCCCCTCCACCACAGGTATCCTCTCTCGCTCTTCCATCCCCATCGTGTCATCTAAAAATGAATCAAATGCAGCAACTGATGGCCACGATGAGTCAACATACCCCATCTGACCCACTCCCCCCTGATAACCACCGACCCCTCCGTCACCCCCTCCGTCCCGATAGTGACCTGTCCCTCCGCTACCTCCTCCATCTCGATAATCGCTCGTCCCCCGCAGGCCTGCTATGTCACCCCGTATCGCTGCAACATCAGCATGGAGGTCTCCTAACCCAGCTCGTAACATCGCGACATCATATCGTAACTGTGCCGTGTCCCCGAGCTCAGCTCGTAGTGTCACGACATTACCCCGTAACTCTGCCATGTCTCCTCTCATCTCCATCAGGGGGTCGAACAAATCAATCGTCGAAGCACGGGGACTAGGTGCAGGAGGCGATACTGGACGGCCCTCCTGAAAAAATAACTATTACAAATGAATAACCTAACAAATAAAATAAAACGACAATCGAAGAATTATTTTTAAGTAACATACTCTATCTCGATCAACGCTGGACTCAGGCATCTGAACCTCTGGCGTAGCTGGACGTGATCTTCTCAGCGGAGGTGACATCCTCGCTGGACGTGCTCTCGTCGGTGGAGGTGATATCCTCAACGGAGGTAATACTGAACGATCCTCTTGAAAAAATAAATATTACAAGTGAGGCACTTAATTACAAGATCGAAGCGATATTCAATAAATTCTGCACAGTGACATACCCTATGTCGATCCATCCTGGACTCAGGCATCTGATCGTCATGCGCAGTACGAAGAGGCAATTCGCGAATATAAAACTGACTCTCCTCCTCGATCGACGGTGCCAACTCAGTGAGAACTTCAAGCTGTCATTTTCATATGTCACAGTTAATGAATATGTATTCAGATTATAAAAGGACGTACGACATAAATAGCAATTGTATAATACGTACCTCAGGATCGTCGAGGAGAGCCGATAACTGTCTGGCAAGCGGCTTGTCTTGTGCTTGCCAGTGATGCATCCGAGGATAGCGTGTCTCTCCTCTCCTCGCATACCGACTGGCCAAGATAGGGACAGTCTCATACACCCATATCTGAAACAATTACAATTATTATGTATAGAATTCAATAAAAAAA